AAGGGGATTTATTTATCTGTTCTCTGGAATATAGTTCCATTACGTTATCGAGATAAATAAATCCCCTTCATGTAACTCTCTTATTCTCTGGAATATAGTTCCATTACGTTATCGAGATAAATAAATCGATTCCTTCTTCTATATTAATTTACTTTTTGTTTGTAATTATAAAATGAAGTATTATAATAAATATGAATGGCAAAAAACACTGGTACATATCGGAATAAAAAACACACTGGTACATATCGAAATCCAAAAAAACACTGGTACATATCGGAATAAAAAACACTGGTACATATCGGAATAAAAAACACACTGGTACATATCGGAATCCAAAAAAAAACTGGTACATATCGGAATCCAAAAAAAACTGGTACATATCGGAATACAAAAAACACTGGTACATATCGGAATAAAAAAAACACTGGTACATATTGGAATCCAAAAAAACACTGGTACATATCGGAATAAAAAGAAACACTGGCACATATCGGAATAAAAAAAAAACACTGGTACATATCGGAATAAAAAAAACACTAGTACATATCGAAATCCAAAAAGACACTGGTTCATATCGGTATACAAAAAAATCTGGCACATATCGGAATAAAAAAAACACTGGCCCATATTGGAATAAAAAGACACCGGCACATATCGAAATCCAAAAAGACACTGGTACATATCGTAGTAAATAATACACTGATGTATATCGGAATAAAAAAAAACCTAGCTTCAAATACTGCAACTAGACAACAAAAAAAAAACAATCTCAGAAAATTTGTAAATTTATGTACCGCATCTAACAGATAAACATATGTGATATGTTGCGAGTATCTAACTGATCTTAGTAACTTATATTTTAGTGATTTGAGTATGATAACTCAAAAATCGAAATCCTGTTTAGTTTTGGGATAATTCAGATCTCGCAAATTAGAAGTTTCCAATCATCACCAAAGCATTTATCAACATTCATGTTATCTCGGCATACAACATGTCTCGACCAAAGTATTGAGTTAACATTCATGTTACCTCGGTATACAACATGTCTCGACCAAAGGATTAAACTAACTTTCATATTACCTCGTGACTTTCAAAAGTTATATTGTTTTCTTAATAAATCAAGTTTCTGTTGTTCAGTGGAACAAATTGGGTTCTCGGAATTTATAGCAGCAATGTTCTTTTCAAGATTATCTATTGTTGACTTGCAAAAGTCTTGTGTGAGTTTCGTAAGTGTAAGTGAGGTGAAATGAAGGATTTTCTTCCATTGCGAACAAGACAGTTTCTCATTGGCTCCTATGGTAACTGGTGGATTGAAATTAAGGGATTTAGGTATAGTTTGATTCTGTAAATACTGTCCCAGCAAATCAGCATGGTGCATATACCTCAGTCTTTTTTCCATTCAATTTCCTGAGTAATTCGAAAGTCTTGTTAGAGTTTAGATCAGAGTGCACTTGGGTAGCTGTATTGGAAGGAGTGTATATTTCAAGATGAATATATGGTTTTACTTTGTGACAGTCAGAAGGTTCAGGATCTTTTAGGTTTAGAAAGTCGTCAGGTTTGTGAAAAGGCTTTGTGAAAAATAGTTGAATGAAGGGTGATGTTTTCCTACAAAGGTTGTAGAAGATTTTGCGTATGGAAAAAAAATCTCAGAGGTTGTGGAGTTTGGAAGGTCGTCAAAATAAGGAGTTACAAGACAGTTTCTAGGAATAAAAGTAGAAGTCCTAAAATCTCCATAACTACTGCATTTAGGAGAATGGAGAGTAATGGTGGAAAAGAGGTTTGTAAATGTAGAAGTGTGATCTACAGTAATATGAGAGTTTGTGAATGCGGCGGGATTCTTGGGTGGTGTGTCAGGTTTAGAGCTAAGAAAGAAGTTTCTAGAAACAGGAGTGGAAACCGCAACTTCTGCATAAGTGCGACGTATAGGAAAAAATATGGGCACATCTAGTTCCGGGAGAAGCAGTGATAGAAATGGGATATAGACGTGTATTGGACGTGTGGTGCACAGAAGGATGCTGTGTGGATTGAGGAGGCTTTGTGGATTGGATATGGGGAATAGAGTAGATTGGAGGAGATTTATGACAAAGACTGTTTGGTGGATCTAGGTTGGATTGTTCAGTGGTTCTTTGTAGGCGAAGAAGAATATAGTCAGTGATAAAGTATCATAAGTTACAGGATAGGAAAGCATTTCTTTTGAAGGAAATGTGTAAACCATCCTTTGCTAAAAAAATGTGTCCTGTTTTCAAGTTTAAAGTTGGGGTTGTAAAAGAAGGATAAGCGTGAGTTACATTGGCAGAGATCATGTGTGAGGGTGTTAAATTTGTCAATTTTCTTGTTTAAAGAGTCAGTAGTACAGGTCTGTTGTCTTAGAGGTAAATCAGTATGTCTGGTGACATCACGGTAGATGACGCAAGAGAAACAAACATGAAGGTGAGTACGATGAGTCAAAATATGTACTAGTAAGGTTTGTAGGTCGTTAAAACAGTTACAAATTGTCGTTACATGTCGTTTTTGGTCGTTAGTTCCGACGTGAAGAATTAAGTATGTTACAGACTGTGGCAGTAAAGTTACAGTGTCTGAAAGGTCAAATAAGGTAGCTCCACTAATTGATTTAATCAAAATATGTACTAGTAAGGTTTGTAGGTCGTTAAAACAGTTACAAATTGTAGTTCCATGTCGTATTTGGTCGTTAGTTCCGACGTGAAGAATTAAGTATGTTACAGACTGTGGCAGTAAAGTTACAGTGTCTGAAAGATCAAATAAGGTGGCTCCACTAATTGATTTAATCAAAATATGTTGGTTGTTATTGTAGGAAATGTGTTGATGGAGGAATTTAATAATAAAATTTCCAAAAATACCAATGTAAGATGAAAGAAAAGGTAACTTACCTTCAGTAAACTGGGGTCCATGATCCATGAGTGGAATATAAATTCTGATTAAGAAGTTAACACACAAGATCACACACAAAAGTTGTAATGGTTTTCAAACGAGACCCAAAACTCGAGCGCTATCGAATAGTTCACTATTCTTCTTCAGGACCAGAGCATTAAGTTAAAAACCCATGTTATCTCGGTATACAACATGCCTCGGCCAAAGCATTAAGTTAAGACCCATACTGCCTTTATTCTCCTGAAGAAGAATAGTGAACTATTCTAAAGCGCTCGAGTTTTGGGTCTCGTTTGAAGACCATTACAACTTTTGTATGTGATCCTGTGTGCTTATATCTTAATCAGAATTTCATATTACACCGGTATATAACATGTCTCGACCAAAGCATTAAGTTAACACCCATGTTACTTCGGTATACAGCATGCCTCGCCCTCGACCAAAGCATTGAGTTAGAATTCATGTTACTCTAAGAGTACAATAATTTGAAAACATGTTGTAGAGAGTTTGATAGCAATTATCATTATAGAAAATACAGCACATTCAAGTGTTTTCCTAAGGAATGTACGCTATTGGTATCATATCGACCCGCCTAAGTAATAGTATACCTTTTAACACATTAAACCATATATAGTTTAAGTTGTATAACGCATTGAATTATATCATTGAGTATTGAGGTCAGTTAGTTATATTGGATTATATCCAGTAGCGTACATCTTACTTGTAAATTGTGTAAAAAAGTATAATCTATGGTTTCAAGGTTGAGGGTGATAAAATATTCATTATAAGCATAGACGGATGTAATTAACTCTATAGGAATATACAGAGGTTATTAACTCTATAGAAATATACATATGTGATTAACTCTTTTCAAACACGTCTTAAGCTACTTAAAGTTACCAATAGAAATGATAAATGTTATTAAATGTTTCTATAATTCTCTCACCATCATCCTAACTTAGCCAAGACAATCGCTGTTTGTATTACATTATTTATTACATATACTCTTCCTACATACGCTGTTTCTGTTGGATTAAACAGTATAACTTTTATTAAATTTAAACATTACTGTGAATTTACAAGAGTAATTAAAGTAGCTGTCATAAGTTATTTTAATATACATATACCGGTGTCATTTTTATTAATGTTTCGTTCAAGATATGAGATGCCAGTTTTATTATTCTTTAGTTTTAACCGCATTCTTGATTTTCCCCAAATCTTGAAAAATAGATTCCCAGTCTATCCATTATTAGTACTACATTTTTTCATTACTTTAAATAAGAAATTGGCCATTTCGAAATCCAGCGAAATAACGTTATTATTCAGTTATCATTGTGTGATATTTCAGGTGTTTCTAACTTGAACCGGAAGACAGTCTTTTCAAATTCTAGTAAGGCAATTTTTTCATCACATTATTATAAGTAGGAACCTAGAGACATATTAACAACAATAACTACATCGTGAAGTTATTATAACAAACTGTGATGCTCACTCTTTAGGTACTGGAAGCTGCTTTCGTTCCTCACTACATGTAAGTAACTAATATTATCACGATTTTATGTCGACTTAAACTTTGCAACAGTACCAACCGATCTTTTAAATGATAAAGTAGTTACAAAGTGATTTCTTAAGTTCATTTTTTGCTACTAACGTTTAAAAACATCTTTCAGAAAAAGACGAACTGATAAGCCTCGCAGAGAAGACATACACACACACCAATAAATGTAAAACTAATCATGTCTTTGGGATTTACTTTGCTTAGGACAGTAATTACATGTGTTAAATTAACCCAGGTTAGTTCAAAACAAATAGATAAAGTATAATCAAACATATATTGTACATAGCGTAGGATAATCATTACAGCAAACACAGAATAACGAAGTTTCTGCATGTTTGAAGAACAAACTGTTCAACAGGAGAATTTTGCTTCAGTGACTAATCGAGCCTCAGTCACAGAAAGTACGAGGCTAATCATACCAGTATTAGCTGCGTGGGTTTTACCTGTCTTTATTATGCCACGATATTTGTTTTACAAAATGTAACCATTATGTGATAAGTATATATCTGTCCCATAAAAATAAACACAAAAAGGAATTTCTATCTCTGAAAGTTACCTTTAATGAAATCGACCGACTGCTCCAAACCATACGTATCTTTGTCACAGTCGTCCAGAATGTATGTCCCAAGCCGGATGCCTGGAAGAAAGGTTTGATTGTTTACCCAGTCTAAGGTGTACAACATACACTCTAGGGCCTGAACACCACCCTGTGGCATTATGGAACCACAGATTTGGGAATCATCTCGCTCGTGTATCATCATCAGACCTCCCAAGATAATATCTCCTTCCATTTCAGCTACCTTTTTTATGGGCCACGTAAAATTGAAAGTGGTATTCCCACGATTCCATCTTGAAAACACTACTGAGGGACCCGAATTATTGACTTTGATTATTTTGCTATTCAGGTTTGTTTCATCATAATATCTATTCTGAAAGATAATGTCAGTATCGCTAACGTTTGAATAAGTCAAGTTAGCGTCATTAATGAAGTTGTAGAGTGATTCAAGATTGTTCCAGCTATTTTCAGTCTCCAGTAGCTCTTCTGGCCAACTAACAGCATGCTTATTGAAGAACAGTACCCAAAATATTGTACAAACCACTTGAAGTTGGGGCAAATGTACCGATAAAATTGAGCCGTTGGTCATTAAACACTGGAACGCTTTCATCTAGAAAATGTGTGGATTCACAACTGGTTACGATTTGGAGCTTGGAAAAGTTTTAAGCTATTTGTTGTTTCACATAAATCTTTCGACTGTTTAAAAGCGACCCCAGAGAGAAAAGCCTAATCTCATACTTTTCCAATGAAAACTCTTGCGGATTCTTCGTCCCCAGGATAATTTACTATGTTTATTGCGTCATCGCAGAGAAGTGAAAGGAACGTTTCGACGCTATCTGGGAACATTTTTACGCTCGCGGAGAATGCGCCCTCTCACGACATAAAATTAATCTCGCAGTTGAAACTGTAACCTAAGAAATAGGGATACTTAATAACGTTAAAAAATAAATTAATGTGTCATTGCATGAAAAACAAATAGGGTAGATGTGTAACTCCAGTTTCCCGTGGCAAAAACGGATGACACATAGTCCATTTCACACACCCCCCCCCCTGCTACTAGTTTGTATCCCCTTTACCGCCGAGAAAACGGAAACAAAGGTAGAGTAAAGTGTTTTGCAAACAGAGCTGCTTACCCACAATTAATCCCGTGTTTCCTGTGAAACAGGCATTTTTGTCGTGATGATTTTATCAATTTATTTAAGTAGAAAAACGACAGAGAGAATTTGCAAATTCCAATACTTAGTTTAAATTTTATTATCCATATTGTATAAAAATGGAGAATTGAAGTAAAGTTGCCGTTAACATAAAATGTGCTCAGATTATATAAAGATAAACGAGTAATGACAGAAGCGTGGAGCAAAAGTAGCATAATTACATACGATTGTTTCTATCTTACTGAAACTTAAGAAAACAGTGTGCCTGTTGGACGTGTTTTCCTACACTATTTTCTTACTAATAATACCATAACACAGTATGCATTGAAATTTGCGTTTTTATATAACAAATATAACAGTAAGTACCTGCATCCTTTAATTGAAAACATGGCTTTTTATTTTCATGTACGAAATTGAGCTCATAAACGTACAATTTCCACTGAAGTAAGACATAACATATTAGGTTTATATAAAGAGTGCTAAAGTCAGCGAAAACTTCTAAAGACCTAGAATCAAAAGATGAAATGAAACTGTTACCACTAATGACGAGAACAGGTCTGGAAGACCACTTATGTATCCCAAATCAGATGTTAAGTAGCTTAGTTTTACTTCACTCGGAGACAAATGTAAATCTATTGCGAAATTCAAGAAACTACTGGTGTTATAATTCACCCTTCCACAACGTGATGCAGATTGCGTCGGAAAAGTTGAAAGAGTGCATTGCAGCAATAAAACATCTTTAAAAAAAATACGTTTACAAAAGCAACAAAAATTGGACAACCTGTATGTGTTGAGGAGTTAGCCTGATGGGTCTAAGGATGCGATTGTTTTATCAGTAGACGCCGGTTCATTCATCTTAGGAGTGGTGAGAGATTAAAGAACAAATCGTCTGCAGCTTTCAGCTAAGTATGGCGAAGGTAGCAGTCAAGTATTTAACCACAATTGAAATTGATAATTTCTACTCTACTAATCGATTCTGCACAATAAAAGCAAATACCAATACAGTATGCTGTATCTTCTGGATGTCGTTTAGTAATTTCATTTTCTAGTATGATAATAATTACAAACATGCAGTTAACGCTGTAAACCATTATCTTTATAGACAGGAAACAGATGGAACCCTTGCAGGCTTAATGTGGGGGATCAGTTTGTGGTGAACTATCTTCATTGAGAAAAACAGCAGAGGCAGCTGAAATGAAAGGAGGAACTTCACGCAGTACTTCAATACACATGAAGTTCAATTCCCAATCTGTATCTCCAAAAGCTTTAAGAAAACATTCCTTATCGGCTTTAAGCAGTGATTTCAGCAGGGATAGTCACACAAAATATTAAAGAAATAATCTCTAAATTTGCTTAATATGCGATTATTTTGCTTTCAGACGTTATGAAGTTCTGAAATACCTGCATTAAAAAGCCAGCATGACGATTAAGCGGTATCTAATTTACGTACAGTACTGTATATGCAGACACTATATTCTGAAGTTTTGTATTTATTTGTAACAAAAATTAAAACATTTATGCACATTTCAGGAATATATTTCACCCACAAGCCTTCACTGGTACATTTATAGTTTTTCCCGTAGTTGAAAATGTGGAACATGTTCAGCGGAATATAATGGCTCGAGCTTCAATCTTTCAATCCACAGTCTGGAATACTAACCACTAAACCACTGTCGGACGCATTTTTCCTCACAATGCATGGAGTATATATTTAGGCATCAAGAATGTGTCCGATCGTGTTTAGTGTCACTGAGCTTCTTAGGTGTTTTATATCTATGCACCAAGAATGTCTCATATTGTGTTATTATCACTAAGCTCCTTAGATGCTTTATATTTATGCATCAGGAATGACTCAAATTGTACTTAGCATCACTAAGCTCAGTTTGGCAGCTGGTGGACATAGAAGGTGTAGAGGTTTCACTTTTAAAGTTCTTCAAAATGATTTTAGCATTTATTTCTAGTTCTTTCCTAGGGTCTTTTTTAAGTGGTTCGGAACTAGATGTATCATGGAGATGCACCTTAACCTTTTTACGTAGATAGCTGTATTTATTAAAACATATTTACTCTTGATGTTGTCTCTATGTACCCTTCCATTTGTATAGAAAAAAATATAGGCTCTAAATGTCATTATCAAAGACATTCCACAATCTTAACACACAAGATTTTAACAAACGACTGCAAAAAGAAAGAAACCACCATATCAAAACACTGTCTCATGCTCTTCGTGGATACAACTTTCCCTACCTGTCTTCGTCAAGCGATTAGAAGATCTGGTTTGAATATCCACATTATACAAAAACCCGGCAAAAAAATGAAGAATATATTTACTCATTCAATAACAACAATCCATGCAAATCCAAAAGTGCTTTACTAAGACCAATAGCGAAGAGAAATCCTTCAATAACAACAATCCATGCAAATCCAAAAGTGCTTTACTAAGACCAATAGCGAAGAGAAATCCTTCAATAACAACAATCCATGCAAATCCAAAAGTGCTTTACTAAGACCAATAGCGTAGAGAAATCCTTCAATAACAACAATCCATGCAAATCCAAAAGTGCTTTACTAAGACCAATAGCGTAGAGAAATCCTGTACACTTAGGAACACCGTCTATGAAATGACATGCACACAGTGTTCAGCCACATACGTAGGTGAATCCAATCGTCCAATACATGATCGTTTCAAAGGACACATTCATGCCACTGCAAATCTTGACAACAAAAGAGGCACTGCTGAACATTATATCAACGTACACGGCATAACTAATGAGAAGCATTATCGGATCAAAATTTTAGCGATTCGTGACAACATTCTTAACAGAATATTTAAAGAATCACTTTTGATTCAAACCAAACGCCCTTCCATTAACAGATACAATGCCTGGCCCCTATAATAATATTAATATTTATTTATTTATTTGCATTTTTATTTATTTATTTTATGATCTGCTACTCTAACCAGTATTCCATAATATTTTTAGTTCCACCGTGTATCGTTCAATTATATTGCTTTAGTTTTATATTCTTTTCGGCTACTATCATATAAAATCAGTTTCCTAACCTGTAACATTCATAGAACCTTGAAAAACACGTAAGCCAAAACGTCGGGTAGAATAGATAAATATATGTGTGAAATTGTTTGTCATCTTCATTGAAGATGGTTTCCATCCTTCAGTCAGCACTGACAGTATTAAAAAATGATAAAAAAGGGTTTTGTTTTCTTTATATAAAGCTAAACTTTGGAACTATCTGCACTCTGTATTTTCAAACATTGTTGTTTTCCTTGTGTAAAGCTACACATTGGGATAACTGCACTATGCATTTTAAACGGTTGTTGCTTTCTTTGATAAAGCCATATTTTAAGTGATATATGAGACTCTAACGATGCGATGATAATCGGTACTACCAAACAGTGAAGGGAACATTTATATCAGTTTGAAAGAAAACCTATATTCTCCAGATAATAATAAAAATAAACTATTTCACCAAAAGATTCTCCATTACAGTTCTCTCACTACAGGATCTGATGAAGCTACAATAACGAAAAGTTGGCTGAAATAATGTTTTATGTTTATTATCTGGAGAATAAAGGCATTTTATTCTATCATTTGTAATTTTCTCAGTCTCATAAATTTATTAATCTTAGGTAAGACACGTATTTGTTAACAATATGTATACATATATATTGTTGGTAAGACACGTATTTGTTAACAATATGTATACATATATATTGTTGGTAAGACACATATTTGTTAACAATATGTATGCATATATATTGTTGGTAAGACACGTATTTGTTAACAATATGTATACATATATATTGTTGGTAAGACACGTATTTGTTAACAATATGTATACATATATATTGTTGGTAAGATACGTATTTGTTAACAATATGTATACATATATATTGTTTGTGTATTTATATATATATTTCAGTGGAAACTGAAAATTTCTCATTTTCTAATATATGACACTTTCATATTATGTTTGACGACACTTTTATAAAATAATGTATGATTCTCTCACGTTACGTTTCCACGACACTGTACGATTAATGTATGATTCCCTAATGTTACGTTTTGACTATACTTTGTTAAACTAATGTATGACACTCTCATGTTATGCTTTGATGACACTTTGCTAAACAAATAGCCACGGTGGTGTCTGTAGCTATCTCTTATTAAGTACACAAATTGAATGAGCTATATTAAAACAATCTTGGAATCTCATATGTCCCACGGTGGGACAGCGGTAAGTCTACGGACTTGCAACGGCAAAATCTGGGGTTTGATTAACTGTTGTTGACACAGCAGATATTCCAATGTGACTTTGCTATAACACACACACA